TTATCAAAACAAGCACTGACAAGTTTGTGTCAGAAATGGTATCCATGAAATCAAACGTTATTTATTTGAGGAACAAGAGCGACTCGAGCCTTGGAATGTGGACACCATCGGACATGAGGCGTTCAGTTACTCGCGCATTAACAAAGTTGGTGAAAAGAAACCTCCACCAAAGCTATCCGATGAAGAGGACTCGAAAAGAATGGTGAGTCAGTTTTGAAAGATTCCGCTGTTTAGTTTCATCTATTGGAGAACTTGCACCATTGCTCGTCGTGTAATCTTTCTCGGTGCTAAAGTTGCTAGGGGAGGGCAGATTTTGTATCGGTTGGTTTCTAGTCGTCTATGCTTTTTCGCCGAGATGGTGTCCGTCCATTAGTCTCCAGTCTCAGAGAGTGGGGACAAGCAGAGGACGAGTATGCTCTAGAATGCGTTTATACCGTGTGTCGCCGTTTTGGACTTCGCGAGCATCGGCTTTTCAACGGTTTTCGCGAAAAAGAAAGCATAGGTATCGTTTTAGCGTTCTGGGATGAATCCTAACGTTTTGCGAAAATGATAGTATTGATTGGCGCTTGGAACGCCCAATTCCCTCAATAACCCAGTTCTTCCAAAACGCCTATTTTCTCGAAACGCTAGATTGATACCTATGTTTTCCTTTCGCTCGAAACGCCTAGCTCAAGTATGAACGCAGCTTTGGTTTCATCCACTGCTCACCCCACCTCCCACCTCATACCTTGCGCCCCTTGATATCTTGCTTTCTACTTTTAAAGTCACGTGCTTGGTGATAATCAGGTTGTTAAGGGGCTAGATACACTCTAGTTCGCTGCGGACGGTTGGGCGTGTCAGCCAGTATGAGTGTGCACAGCGTCAAGGCCGTTCTCTGCCTTCTTGTTGAAACGCGCATGCGACAAAAAGTGGTAGAAAACGAGTAATACGAACGATATGATACAGTATTGTCACTTGCCCGCTTCAACAACTGGTGGAGAACGAGTTTGGCACCGCGCCAAACGCAGCCGCACTGACACGCCCAACCGTCCGCAGCGAACTACACTATATCTTGAAGTAAAAACGCTTCTGAGAGCAAGCGCAGGTTCCTGTCTAGCTCGTCCGACAGTTTACGTTCTACCTTGCTTGCCTTACATCGTATCATTTTGGTAGAGTTGGAGATTTGTTGCTGCCTAACTCTCGACTTTACCCTTGCAGCAAGGCAAGGTGTCGGGCGGCGTGTCAAAAAGGGCCGTGATTTCCACCTCCTTTGTTTCTGGGCTCGCTTCTGTGGTATTTTTAGAAAACCTTTTGGTGTCTGGTTCTGGTCGAGATTCTACTGCTGTGAGGTCCGATCATTTCAGACAAACTTCTTTGACCAAAACGAAAGCCTTATACAAGAGTATGGAAAGCTGAAAACGTTAGAAGAGTCAGAGGAGTTCATTCTCGAGCATCCCCATCTCGCTAGCGAATACACAGCCAACTATCTTACGATTGATGCACTCAATTTGGCTATCGATAACAAGGCAAGTCGTTCGTTCCTCAACTATTGTCCTGGAATTGGATTCCAAAATCACGAATTGGAATTCAAAAATCGTGTCGAATCATATATTTAGGATGAGGAGATGTGTAATGTGGCTCGACAGTGTATCGTCGTGCAGTATTTGCTAGAACTCGCGAAAAACATGAATGCTATTCCGACAAACATTAACATTATTAAGGCTTTCTTCAAAAAGTACGTTTTATCCAGTTCTGTTGCATTAGTGTTTCAATTTTAGAAAAAAAGCGAAAGAAAGCAAAAACCTT